GCTGTAAGCAAAGAATTTTTTTCCGTTATGTTTATTTGTAGAAGACAAAGTTGACTTTTGTGAACGAAATTATTAACTAGGATAGATTAATTTGCTTTCATTTGTACCACCCCACAAAAAAAAAAAAAGGAAAAAATGCTAAAGTCGAGCAAGCTCAACTCTTAAATAAATAAAATAAATAAAAAAATATATTAATTAAATTATTTAATTAAATTAAAGACATGTTCATGTACAGTTTCAACAGCATACATTTACATCAGAATCGTGTCTCTGCGTATTTATATGCGTGTATGTATGCAGCACAAAGTTGAACCCAAGCAGCAACAACAACAGCTGTGGGCAGCGCTGCCGGCAACGCTACAAGCAGAGCATGCGCAGCGATTTTATTTATTGCTATAACTTTCTACAGAATTGACCTATTATGATGAAACTTGGCATACAGACACATAATCACTAACGATGTAGCTACTTAATTTTAGTTCGAAATTCCAAGAACTACAGGAGTTATGGAAAAAAACATGAATTGCGGGGGAGTGGGGGGTGTATCAGGGGGTGTATATTTTAACAGCATACATTTACATCAGAATCATGAGTATGCGTGCTTGTATGCAGTAAAGAAATAAATCAAAGCAGCAAGAACAACAACAGCTACCGAGCTTGGGCAGAGATTATATTTATGGCTTTAACTTTCCACCTAATCCACATATCATAATGAAACTTGGCATACGGACACATAAGAACTAACTGCTTTGATTTGATTTCAAAATTCGAAGAAATACGGAAATTATTCTGAGATCCTTCCGCTCATGTCTAAATTGAACTTCAGGCTGTTGCCTTTAAGCCTTCCTTTATTAACTAGTCTGTTCTTGGAGTAGTTTTTCTCCACAAGCTGGTTATCGGTGAAGTAGACTCCTTCGCCCTCTTTAGTCGCATCAAATTTTCCATTCCTTGTAGACCAACAAGGAATTATTTGTCATTCTTTCATTCTTACTTTCAAGAGAACTCCCTCTATTCTATATAAAAGTTCTTCTTTATAGTTATCTCCGGGGAAATCTCTGTCACATACTGCAGTGACTCGGGTGACCACGACCGCAGGGCGGCTTGGGGACGAAAGTATGCGCCCACGCTGATCGTCGTAGCTGCTGCTGCCTAGGATGGGGGAAGCCACGACCGGGGGTTGTACCGTGCTAGAAGTTCCACCAGGCAGCGCCCGAACTGCTCGCGTGCCTGGCCGGCCTGTTGCTGTTGCCGTTGCTTAACTGTCGCCAAGTGGTACCCCTTTAGCTCGATCAGACACCGCTCGAAGCCCTGCTGAGCTGGCGTCTGCTGCGCTATTTCAGGATACTGAGGTGTATCGGTAGCTATGGTTTTGAGGTCCCGCACGTGTGTCGTTCTGCCCCTGCCTGCTACTGGCCGTAAGCGCGCGATAACTGGTGATATAAATGACTTCACGGTGTACGACCTGACGTAGCGTGGTGTCAGCTTCGCTGCGAACTGGCCTGCAGTGTTGGACAAATGGTGCTGTTTGACCAGCACTTCGTCGCCAATGCGTGGTCGCCATTCACGCCTCCTCAAAGTATATTGCCGCGCTTGGTTCTCGCTTACCAGCCCCTGGTTCCTTCACACCATCTACACAACAAATTGTATTAGTGCGGTGTGCGCTTCACTGAACTTTTCCACGAGCACCAGCAGATATGCGTTGCCCATTTTGGACCGCGGTAGTGGCCCCAGGAAATCGGCACACATGACGTCCCACTCTGCTGCAGCCGGCCGGAAGTGCATTTTGCCAGCCGCTTGTCCCTGCTCGGGCGCCACTTGCAATGCTGCGTCGAGCCCAGGTATCCTCGCCGGCCAGCATTGGTGCAAATTATTTATTATTTCGCACCCGAAATAAAAAACGATGTTAAATTTGGTATTTTGGACATTCCTTTTATTTGGTGTGCCCCCTCCAGTGGCAACTGGCAGCATTCGTGGATAACTTTTCTTAAAAAAAACCTTAACGACCGTTTGCCTTCTTGGCTGTGCAAAAACTAAACTATCATTCGTTTTTCATTACTCTTAAACCTTCTTCCCGCCACCCTCTGCTTGTGGCGACACTCTGTGACGGCCACCAGGGGCGTCGTTACATGCCTTATATGAATACGCACAAAATGTGTGTTTTAGAAATTTTGAGAAGTTTCCTAACATCCGTAATTCTTGGAACTTTTCAATCAAATTTAGCAAATACTTCAGCTTTCATCACGGTCAATTTGAAAGGAAGTTATTGCCATAAATATAATCAGAGTTAGGGCAGCTGTTGCTGTTGTTGCCACTTTGGTTCAACTCTGTATTGCACACATTCTCAAACACGCATAGTCTCACATAGGCCCAATTCCTAACTTTCTTAATGTTATTAAATTTCTATAATTATTGTACACATACGACTTATTCAAATGCTTAAAATGCTCAAACAACCAGATTTTGAGAGAAAAATGATAATTTGACATAATGGGCTTGGACAGTATTATGTCAAATTGTAATTTTTCTCGAAAAACCTGGTTGTTTTTGAAATTCAATGATCCAATAGTGGATCTATATTTGCCAAGGCCTTCACTACTTTCATCTCAATAGTAAGTATTAATTGTAAAGGTACGAATGTAATTATGAGAGAGCAAAAGTCCCAGGATGTTTGGTTAAAAAGTCAAGAATTCAAGGCCTTCAAAGCAGAGAGTGTCTGTGGTCTGTAAGTCTGTTTCTGTAGGTTTTGCAAGTGGAAGTAACAGCAAAACTGAGTAATTTGCGCTACCAAAAAAACACGTAAGTGCTATAGGAGAGTTTTAGCAAAAAAGAAAACTGGTGTTGTTACTGTGCCTGTAAAGCCGGCGGAAAAGGAAGCAAGGCTGTGTCTTTTTGTTGCTCAGAAATGGCGCCAAGCGATGCAGGGCGCATACGACTACACAGAATAAAATGCGATATTATTAAAAAAGTTCTGAGGCGTCATTTTCTCAAAATTTGCTGGGAGTATAAGCTGTTTTTGACGGAATAGAAATGTTAAACAAAATATTGCAGAAAAACGTAAAAGAACTGAATTATTTTTACAAAAAATGCTTAGAAATACATAAACTGTATATTATTTTAAACATAAGGTAAATCTATTTATATTCTACATGAAACGTACAAGAGTATATCAGGCATTATAGACCCCACAAAGTGTATATATTCTTGATCAGTATGACAAGACGAGTCGGTCTAGCCCTGTCTGTCCGTCTGCCAGTCTGTCCGTTCGTCCGTATGAACACCTGGATCTCAAAGACTATAAGAGCTAGAGATACAAAACTTTGCACAAAGATGCCTTATGTATGTATGCTCTACGAGTTTGTTTTATTTTTTTGATTTTCCCCCTCACTTCGCCGATAATGGGGTTTTTCCGTAACGCCGTTCGTAAAATCACCTACATCTCGAAAACTGGACATCAAATTTGAAGTCCAAGATGCCTTATGTGAATACGCAGAAAATTGTTTTTTGGAATTCCCCTCCCTCCCCCCCTCTCCACCACAAATCGTAACTACCATAATTTTTGGAATTTTGCAAATACCCCCAGTTAGTGTGTCCATATGCCAAGTTTCACTATGATAGACCGATTTAACAGGAAATTATAGCCATAAATATATTTGCTGCGCAAGCGCTGCCGGCAGCTGTTGTTGATGCTGGTGCTTTTTATACTCTGTACATGAAATGTACAAGAGTATATTAGGTTTGCGCGAGCTGAAAAATGTAACAGGCAGAAGGAGGCGTGGCAGACCCCACAAAGTATATATATTCTTGATCAGCATGACAAGACGAGTTGATTTAGCCCTGTCTGTCTGTCTGTCCGTCTGTCCGTCCGTCCGTCTGTCCGTCCGTCTGTCCGTCCGTATGATCACCTAGATCTCAGAGACTATAAGAGATAGAGACACAAAATTTTGCACAAAGATGCGTTATGTGTGTATTCTATACGGGTTTGTTTTATTTTTTTGATTTCCCCCCCACTTTCCTGGGGGTTTTCCCGATTTTCCATTCGTATAATCGCCTATATCTCGGAGACTATAAGACCTAGGCACACCAAATTTTAGTCCAAGATGCCTTGTGTGATTACGCAGAAAATGTATGTTTTGAAATTTCCCTCCCTCCCCCCTCTCCTCCGCAAATCGCGATTTTCTCTAACTCCCGTAATTCTTGGAATTTCGAACTAAAATTTTGGAAATACCCCCAGTTGGTTATTATGTGTCCGTATGCCAAATTTCATTATGATAGACCGATTTAACAAGAAGTTATAGCCATAAATATATTTGCTGATGCAGCGCTGCTCAAGCGCTGCCCGCGGCTGTTGTTGATGTTGCTGTTTGGTTGACTGCTAACATGTTTACACAGACACGAATATACGCGCATAGACATACATACACTCACATAGACGCAATTGTAAATGTGCAATTTTAACCCTTTACGTGAGTTCGAATACCGAGAGAGATAAAATCGATCAACATTTTCTTAATTTCTATAACTATTCTAAACATATGTACATAGTATTTCAAAGTCGGGACACCCGACTATAGCTTTATTACTTGTTGTTTTTTTTTTAAATTTCTATAATTATTCTAAATACATGTACAGAGTATTTCAAAGTCGGGACACCCGACATAAGCTTCTCTACTTGTTTTTATTGCGATTTTGTTTAATTTTTTTTTTCAATTTTATTAAATCCTTTTAATTATTTTAAAGTAAAGGTACAGAGTATTTCAAAGTCATACATACACGTACATACAGTCATACTGATGCAGATTTTAATTGTGACAGTTTTAGAAAAACATGTATAAATATACATACATATATATTTACATATACATTGTATGTAGACGAATCTAAATCAAGAGGGAGCTAAATATAGTTTGATTTTTCGATTAGTTAGTGTTACGTTGAGCATCAGACTCCAACATTTAAGTATATAAAAAAAAAAAAAAAACAATTAAAAAAACTATTTTTGAAAATCTCAATAATATTAATACTGTGTCATGAATTGGTTTATCACAGTTGTGTTCTTTTTTAATTGGCTGGGGAATGCACACTTCTGCGTTGCTGATTTATACAACAATGGTGACGGGTTGGATAGGTCGTCGCAGTGGATTTTCAGGGAGGACGTGATGTTGAAATTCTATGACGCAGCACACACAGCAGATCGCTCCAAGGAGTTATTACAGAATCAATTGCGTCATTTTTTAGAAAATCTGCAAAAGAACCTGTCAACTTCACCAGTGTTAAATGGCTTCAGAAATGACCCCGCTATTGTCGTAGATGGACCGAAATTGGATGTAAACTCTTCAACGAATTATTTGCAACGCATTACCAAATTAAAGGAATTATCTATATTCTTTCACATTGCATCTGACTCAGCTGGAACATTTGCACGGCATAGTGAGCAGTTTTTCGACACAGCAAAGAACTTAAGCTATATCCTTTTGTTAAAATTGCGTCAGGTGCCGTCGACACAACCGACGCCAGTGAAAATTATGCTTACTAACTATTTTGAAGAAATGGAATATTTTCACATAATATTTTCGGAAATAATGGACGAAGCTCTAGAGTACACTCAAAGTATACTACATACAATCCAAAAAACGTTTATACACTACGCTGAAATTCAACGGTCTGTGCTGGACTGGAAACTCAAGATAGACGTAGTCTGCTGCAATCGGTATATGGAATTTTCGCAAAATTACTCTTCACAGATATTTAAATGTGCCGCTGGTAATGACCTTAATACTGCAGCTGATATATTTTCAATTACAATACTTAACGCCAAATACATCATGAGACAGTTGGAATTCCGCATTCAGCAAATATTTAATTGCTTTGTTTTCGGAAAATATAAAATACGATGTCGTTTTCTCTACAATGCTGAGAGAGATTTTCAACAATTATTTATGAAGCTTGAGGAACTGGAATCTTACTATGCCATAAGGAAGAAGAGCGGCCGTACACTAGCTAGGGTTCGAAGAATGGGACAATTTCAGGAGACCCCTAGAGCAATCAATGTTCAAAACTCAGAAAAACTGTTAAAATGTATTCCACCTAACTTTCCGGTTGCCCAGATGCCGAGCAGTTTAAGATCATGTTTTTATTTCATAGGTCATGACTAAGGACCTTTATCTAATTGTCCACTTGCATTTTATATATGTCAAAAAAATACATAATAAATTCTCCTTGTCCAAATTGGCTTTCAACCTTAAGAGTAATTAAATTCTTAATAGAAATGGGTTTTGGAAACCATTCTATAAACAAATTTACATATATGCCTTTAATGGTTTATAGTATTTGAAGCAAGATTGTTAGCTTTTATACAAGTAAGAGGTTTAGGTCGCTTAAAAAGAACAAGATTTTAAGTTTTAAGATGTATATATCGCTATTTAGATATAGTATCCATACAAAAATTGGTTAAATAATAATTAATATAAATTATCTATATATATAAAACAGTTTGTCCTGACTGACTGATTGACTGACTGACTGACTGACTGATTGGTGATCAACGCACAGCCCAAACGGTAAAGGCTAGGAAGCTGAAATTTGGACTCAAGTATCCTTTCGAAGTCTAGGTCGTAGAAGGGATTTTGGAAATTTCGAGCTCCAAAGGGGGGAAAAGTAGCTCCAAAGTTTGTTTGAAAAAAAAACTTAGTTTCTAAAATCAATTAAAGAATACAAACAAAACTGCATACTCGGATTTTCGAAATTTGTGTTGGAGCTTGAATTATTGGGGTTTTAATATTTATTCACTATTTCAAATGAAAAGTTTGTGTTATAAATTTAGTCCGATCGATTTAAAATTTGGGTAACGTAATCTACGTACCTAAATCTACAACTTTGCATTCAAGGATTTTCAAAATATGCATTTTACAAAAGCAGGCAGAACAAACAATACAAAATATCAAACAGTTGGGGACAACTAAGTATACATACACACACACACACACACACATGCAAACAGCTGTTCGTGTAGTTGCGTGCAAACGATTGAAATAGCCAGAGCAACATGTGAGACACTAATGTGTGAATGTCCATACATGTGTATGTTTGTACATTCCTCTTGCACTGAGAGAGCAAGATATGTTAATTAATTGAAAATTATATAACATTTTTAAAAGTAATTTTGTCTTTGTTTAGTGCATTTGGCATTAGGGTTTTCATTAATAGCTTTATGCAGCAACAACAAATATCAAATAGTTGGGGACATCACATACACACACTCACACACACAACAAGCAACAGTTCGTGTCTATGTGTGCGGTTCTCTACGTACGGTTGAAAAAGTGAAGAGAAACATACATATGTATTCATTCGCATTCGTATTAATGTATACATTGGGGAATCGAACACAGTTGTTTGATTGTAAATAAAATAATGCTCTAAAAACAACAACAACTGCAAGTCATTAGCTCGCTCTTCTTCTTTCGTTTTGACCATTTAATGTTAATTGCAAAGGCAAAACGCCAAAAGTTTACAGTTACCGTCGCTAGGCAACGACTGCGTAAGCGATAGTAAAGCAGAAACCGAATATCGGAGCTACGCATATTCTGCTTCGCATTGCGGGCAGATGTATGTACTTGTATGCATATGATTTGTTCTTATTGATCTCAATAAATAATTCGGTTTTATTATTTAAATATTCTGCTTATTGCATTCAAACTTCGATATTTTGATGGTATCGGTGCCAGTGGTTTTTGATCGTGGCTCATCGCTGCACGGCATTGACACGAATGCCGTGTTTCATATTCCGAGTTTGTGCGTGGCCGTATTGACTCAATATGACACGAAAAGACTCAAATGTGAATTTAAATTTGGACTCAAGTATCCTTTCATAGTATCCATCATAGTGTAGGAATACACTAAGAAGGGTTTTTTGAAAATTCTAGCCCCAAAGGGAGGAAAACACAAAATAAATACAATTGGAAACATTATATTGAGCCGGGTTAAGACGGGCAATACCTGCTAGTATACTTATAAATCTGTAAAAAAAAATAAAAGAAGGAATCGTAAATTTACATGTTTCTTTTAACTATATTTCAGATACATATTATGAATATAAAACGCGTTTCGTAAGCATTATTAAAAATTAATTTTGCAAACAACAAATATTGAAAATCTCGGTAATCTATTTCATTTTCTCCGTATTATACCCTGTATCCAAAGGGTAAAATAACACAGAAGAAGGCGTGGTACACAATATTCTTGAGTCGAATAGACGCGCATAAGCATACATACACTCGCATAGACGCAATTGCTGTGTAAATGTGCAATTACACACCCTTTACGTGAGTTCGAATACCGAGAAAGGTAAAATCGATCAGCATTTTTATACTCTGTACATAAAATGTACAAGATATGAGATATTAGGTTTGCGGGAGCTGAAAATGTAACAGACAGAAGGAGGCGTGGCAGACGCCACAAAGTATATATATTCTTGATCATCATGACGAGTCGATCTAGCCCTTTCTGTCTGTCTGTCTGTCTGCCTGTCCGTCTGTTTTATTTTTTTGATTTTCCCCCCACTTCCCCCTATGGGGTTTTCCCGATTTTCCAGATGCCTTATGTGAATACGCAGAAAATATGCATTTTGGAATTCCCCTCCCACCCCCTCTCCACAGCAAATCGTAACTCCCGTAATTCTTGGAATTTCGAACTCGAATTTGGGAAGTACCCCCAGTTAGTAATTATGTGTCCGTTCGCCAAGCTTCATTATGATAGACCGATTTAACAAGAAGTTAAAGCCATAAATATATTTGCTGCTCATGCGCTGCTCAAGCGCTGCCCAAGCGCTGCCCGTACAGAGTATTTCAAAGTCGGGACACCCGACTTTAGCCTCTTTACTTGTTTTTTTTGAAATTATTTTAATTTCTATAATTATTCTAAGCATATGTACAGAGTATTCAAAGTCGGGACACCCGACTTTAGCTTCAAGGTTTCAGTTCATAATAAATTAGATTCCATTCCCTCGGCAATGGAATCAAACATAGTACAAGCGTAAATATTAATATTGCTTGTACCATGTACTAAAGCAAAGAAATTTGTACTGATTACAAATAAACAAATACAACATATTTAAAAATAAAACTAGGTTCAAAAGCTTGGGTAGAATTAAAGGTAGTTCATTGTTTGAATCATTCTGGTTTTATTGACGGCGACGAGTGTTGCGCTGCTTATCGAACCGCATTTCCATTTCCTCAAGCACCTTTGGAGTGTAGCACACCACAAGCTTTACAGACCCAACCGCCTGTTTTAATAGTTCGACAGCTTTTTCATGGTTTTCACCTTCAACAGACTAAAGTAAATATATGTATAAGTAAACGTTTATCAATAATATTCAAATCAATTTATTGCCTTTGATGTGAGGTGCCTGTTATTTGTGGGCTTTGGGGGAATAAAAAGTTATATATATTCATGTTCCAAAGTCGAAGAACAAACAACTGGAAAAAAGCAAAAAAAATTTTGACACAAGTGAATGAGTTTTTTTTTTCACTTCTGGATAAATTTTAAAGAAGCGACGAGCTCGGCTTCTTAGCTCAAATATAGATGAGTATATATGTATTCTTTAATACAAATTTAAAGTGCTTAATATGGATATATCTATTTTTCGTTTTTGTTGGGCCGTGTTTAGAAAAATTTTCGTCGTGCGTACGCGTGCGTGTTTCCAAAGGTTCATTTCGTGGCCGCGTCGTGTCGGGCCGAAAATAGCCGACCCATGTCCATCTCTAGTATAGACACCTAGCCCTCACATAACACGGGAGTTACGTTCCTTGAAAACGTCGTGTTAATCGAAATTGTGTTAAACGAGCCGTGTACTCCATACAAAGAAGGGGTTACGTTCCTAGCCTTCGACAAAATTTATAATAAATAGTTTTACTGTTTAAATTTATTAGTTTCAAAAACATAAAAAGGTTTATTTCAAAAGTTACAAAAGAGAACGCTACAGTCGAGCTTCTGCTCGAGGCGCATATACCTCAGTGCCGGAAGTTTACCTGGGTACAGGGTATTTCACTGTCGGGCTTGCTCGACTGTAGCGTTATCTCTTGTTACCATAGCAGCAGCAAAAAGAGGAAGAAGAAGAGCGAACTTGTTGCTGCAGTTTGTGGGGGTTGTACTGCCGAGAATTTGTTTCGCTAATAACTTTTCTTAGAATTGACCGAATTGAATAAAATAATAAATAAACAAGTAAAAAAGCTAAAGTCGGGGGTCCCGACTTTGAAATACTCTGTACATATGTTTACAATAATTATAGAAAATAAAAAAATTAAGAAAATTAAAAAAAAACAAGTAAAAAAGCTAAAGTCGGGTGTCCCGACTTTGAAATACTCTGTACATATGTTTACAATAATTATAGAAAATAAAAAAAATTAAGAAAATAAAAAAAAAAATTTGATCGATTTTACCTCTCTCGGTATTCGAACTCACGTAAAGGGTGTATAATTGCACATTTACATAGCAATTGCGTCTGTGTGAGTGTATGTATGCCTATGCGCATCAATTCGTGTCTGTGTAAGCATTTTCGCAGTCAACCAAACAGCAACATCAACAACAGCTGCGGGCAGCGCTTGAGCAGCGCTTGAGCAGCGCTGCATCAGCAAATATATTTATGGCTATAACTTCTTGTTAAATCGGTCTATCATAATGAAATTTGGCATACGGACACATAATAACCAACTGGGGGTATTTCCAAAATTTTAGTTCGAAATTCCAAGAATTACGGGAGTTACGATTTGCGGGGTAGAGGGGGGAGGGAGGGGAATTCCAAAATATACATTTTCTGCGTATTCACATAAGGCATCTGGGACTAAAATTTGGTGTTCCTAGGTCTTATAGTCTCCGAGATATAGGCGATTATACGAATGGAAAATCGGGAAAACCCCCATAGGGGGGAAGTGGGGGGAAAATCAAAAAAATAAAACAAACTCGTATAGAATACACACATAACGCATCTTTGTGCAAAATTTGGTGTCTCTATCTCTTATAGTCTCTGAGATCCAGGTGTTCATACGGACGGACAGACGGACAGTCGGACAGACAGACAGACAGGGCTAGATCGACTCGACTCGTCATGCTGATCAAGAATATATATACTTTGTGGGGTCTGCCACGCCTCCTTCTGCCTGTTACATTTTTCAGCTCCCGCAAACCTAATATACTTCTGTACATTTCATGTACAGAGTATAATAATAAACAGCAGTAGATAATTATA